ATAATTTATACTACACACTGCCTAATTTAATCATATATATTATATAAATGTTCATAATTTTTATTAGAGAATAACAACCGATATAAAGAAAATAAAGCTGTTAAAAATAGAAAAAACTGGATTGTAGATCATTTATTTGATGCTAATGAACTTACTTGTTCATGTGGGTTAAGCATCTGTTCCTCGAAACAGAAGCATTGTATTTTATTAAAGTATTGTCCTACTTCGAATGGTAAAACATTATATGTGGATATTCCTACAATTTGAGTGTCAGTTGGATTTGTGGCTGTGTAAAATGCTAAAGCCGTTTCTCCAGGAACAACTGTAATCTCCTTTTGCTGCGGTTTGAAGTTCCATTGCATTGACGACGCAACATCCGCATTGAACATAATTTTGATCTTTTTGTTTTTAAAAGGTTTCATCGTGGACACTTTACTAGCGTCATGACCAGTTGATAATGTTCCACCATAACTATATGACTATAGAACAAAAAGAAAATTCAATATAAAATAAATATAAGATAAATTCGCATTACATTGGATTAATATATACTAAAAGCTATTTTATATAAAGTATCTATATGTAGTGGCATAATATAATCAACTTTGACAATAAAATAATGTATATCTTATTGAATAATGTGATAGTATTGAATATTTGATCGTTTAAAATATTTATGTTATGTATGCTATTTATAAAGGAGAAGAAATGTATGAGTGAGAATGTAAAAAATTAAAAATGTTTAATATAAACTAAGTCCCCCAGTTTTTAGGCCAATCAATAAAGTTTAAATATTTATTATGCTCTTATATTTAACTTTGCCAATTACATGCACAGCTTTATTATATTATTATATTATTAATTAAACAGCTTTTGTATATATTACTCTAATCTAATGTAATGCAATGATAGAATTTGCTAATATAAATGATATTCAATTTATTAAAGTAATAATGAAATTAAGCTTGAATTAAATAATATAAAATAATCCTTAAAGAACCACAACTGCACCTGACAAAACATTCTGTACAAAGGCACTGCAGAATAACTTAAACCAACTACTAGAATTCCGACTCCAGACCAATAAAAGGCAGTAGAACGTAATTTCTTTCGGAACGTGTTGTCAGAATGGTCTTTCATTAAATTTCGCGATACGCTGGTGTGTATTTGCCTCACGCATGTTCGTGTCAACAATCGACAGATGTTTAGATACATCTCTTTAGAATTTCTCTATTCTGTTCTGTCAATTCAAAACAAGAGACTAACCTAAATACAACTTTTTATATATTCGCCGTTAAAAATTAAATTCTTCTCGAAAGCATAATGACATGAAACGATAGATCGAGAACAATTTTCTCAGCAATACATTCGATCTATTATAATATTATTACGAAGTTCCGATAAAATTTTTAATATAATACAACTGCCCGGTGCCGTGTGTCACATGAGACTCCATATTGCTCATTTGTTCCACCGATTGCGAATGTTTTAAGTTGGTAACCAATCTGATTTCACTATATTGGTAACATTGAGCAATTTCAAATCGGCACCTGACACCAGCTACGTTTACAGATTTATTATATATACGTTTACATCAGCTACGTTTACACCTGAAATAGGTCGCCTATGATGTTTCAAAGCAATTGTGGTGAGATTTTGACTACAGCCATAGAATACAGGAATTATACAAATTACTAATTTATTTTAATTGGTATTATATTTTTAACATTATGCTTAGAATGCAACAAAAGTTATATTGCATTGAATATAATTTATCTATTTTTTTGGATTAAATGAATGAAAAATAACACGTATGAATTGACAAAATTCAGTAATTCAAAAGTAATGTAATAAAAAAAAATAGCAAGGCATCAATCTTTTGTTAAAAATATTAACTTGTGTACATTGCGCGAATTTTGTATAACATAAAGTTCCCGGGAAAAAAATGTACACATATAATATTGTATATATAATTATATAAAATATCCATATATATGTATAATATTTTTTCCCCGGTTATATACAAACTAATAATCATTTAATGTAACAATTAAACTAAGATATTCATGAGCTGTGTGAATGCGTAATGAATCCAGTGTAAGAAATAAAGCAAAACCCGTGCAATAATGCCCATTTATCGGAGAACAGGTGTAAAGAATATATTATTTTATTTACTTTGTAATATGTTAATATTTCGACAGTTAAATAAATGATCGGTGCGCGGCCATGGGGATTGTTTTGGCGCGGAAAGACGGGCGGGCGATGCGTCACGTTTACGCGAAGTTATTTCCGTTTACTGCGCAATTATTCCATTACCGAAGCTTGTACAGGCAGGTAACCATGTCGCGTGTTACTCTTGTTCATATTTCTTTTTAAAATATATTATAACAATCGCAATAAAGCCAGATAATACGAAATGTACCTTATTAGATTTCAAAAATTTACTTAAAAAATTGAATAAGAAATATAAGTTAGAAAAAGTTTTCTAAAATAATAAATACTAAATAATTGTTTAATTTTTTTATTTAAAATACATATTTTAAATAAAATTGTTTTTAA